TTGTTTAGTTGTCGTATTTAATGAGTTTATACTGCTATGTCCGTAATTCTATTTTTTTATGGTTCCTTAATCAGTCGCTCGTAAAGATTTTATCTTAGGACGTGAGATAAAATATTGTCATTCTTACAAGTTCATCAGCGTGAGAGAAAGAGAAAGAGAAAGAGAGAAAAAGAAAAGTGGTGGTAAAATAAAGCCGGCATTCACAAGGCGATTGAAGCTTGGGAGTTTTTTTACATTCATCGTCGATACAGCCACGACAGAGTTACCTATTTCCGTTATCGTCCAGTTGCTCTAATCTCTATTACCACTCTTCATATAACGAATCGAACGTACGACCGTTTTCTCGTAACCCGTTACATAATCCTCGTGATCCCGTGAGATTATTCAGGGATAAATATATCAGGGCGGTTCCGCGACTTCTTCTGCAGCTCGTAAAGATACGGAGCGCAATTTCCTACATTTTGCATGGCCTTATAAATAGCGATTTGCGCCGTGCATTTTATCCAGTTTCCTTCAGACTTGATAGTTTGCTAGCGCGTTACATCTAAACCATCATTTCGTGAGTAATCCGAGTAGATAAGAAATAGCCGCTACTTATCATCATTCGTCTTAGATTAACCATAAAGCGATCGTTTAGATATTCCGTAACTTGATTTGTACGCGGACTATACGCGCGGAAGTATCGATCATGAAAATTTATTGCTTCGAATTTTGCATCAACGTTATTTTCTGCGATTATTATTTATTAAGAATCTGTTATAAAAATATTACAGTCACAGAAAAAAAAAAAAAAAATAATTTGCAACACTTGGATTAAAATTGTCGGAAAACTTGTTTATTTATTCTGGGAATCGAGCCCGATGAAATTACGATAGTAACGCTTGAATTAAGAATTTCACAGAGACTACACATCGTTGATATGGAAAGACACGCGGAATGAAATACTAGCCGCCATCGGCGTATACGGCTACGCGGGAGAGGGACCCTTGCCGACCGAAAAAGATTTGAGCGCGTCGAAACCGGTTTGAGTAAATACACGTCACCGGCATGATCTTCCCTATAATTTACGGCGAAATTATAAATTTATCTAGGCATTACTTGTCTTCGCCGGACGATCACTGAAATATCACTTGGAGGAACAACAAAGAGGAATGATTAGCCGTCCTCTCGTATTTCTCCATCTTTATTGCTGTCAATAGCTGTCGATTATTACATGAATATAATCACCATCTTCTAATCAATTTTACGAGGCATTAAAATAATCAGCTTTCTTGTAATTATATATTTTCTCTTTAATCTGAAATAATGAAGTATTATATATTGACGATATTTTCCTTTTGCTATATAAATATTTGACTGTAGATTCTTAGTTTTTATAATTCTTCGTGAACAAGTAGAGTTCAGCATCACGTGTTAAAATAGCAACAAAAAAGGGAGATGTACTTTATATTAGTTATATTATTAATGTATCATATATTTATATTAATCAGATTCTCATAGTAAATTGGGTTTAATCGCTCTCAAAGCGATCAAACTTGCTTTATTCGAAAACGCTAATTGTTACTGGTAGGGTCACTCATGCCGGACAGGTCGAAGGGGAAGAGTCAGACTAAGAGAGATACCGTAATTATCCCGTTCTACATTGATCGCATGTCGCCAGTCGCAAGCAAATCGACCAATCACAGTCGATTATTCCGTCGAATAAGCGCCTGTGATTGGTCGATTTGCTTGCGACTGGCGACATGCGATCAATGTAGAACGGGCTTTACATGATTTCAAAGCAAGGTGTTCCTTTAATCACATATTTGAGATCCGGCACAAAATCCACGCTATGCGTAAGCAGGTTGTATGTTTGCAATCATGCATGCAATGAACCGGTTAACACATTATGATTTACGTACACGGATCGTAAATAACGTCGCGCGCGGATCTTCGCGTAACGCGAAGTCTAATAACGAAGCAGCTATCATGAATTAAATCAGCTCATTTAGCGAGATGCAACGATGGCGACGATGTTATGCATGATATAGGTATATTCCGTATAATTAAACCCTTTAACTTAAATTTAAATGACAGATCTTTCGTGTGTACCGAATTTAAATTCGTTTTTCAAGAAACGAGAGAAAAAAAAAAGAAAGCAGTTTTATTCAAATTAAAGAAAAATTTAAAATAAAATTTTGGTCACACTTTATATTGTCTGCACAGAAATGTATCTCACACACATTTTCATTTTCAATTATTTAATTATGGAAACTATATAGATGCCTTGATATATTTTAATTGGCGAAGAACCCAATTATGAATTATGAAAAATTCTATTGTGTGTGATGCGGCAAAATAAAAGATTTAAAACACACAAACTTATAACTCGGATTATATTTTCGAATTGTCCATTATTGCTTCGAAGATTCCCGAATCGCGAAGATCCGTTTGCTCGGTAAAACAACTTTATCTCGCCGAAAGCAGCGGAGCGGAACCCAATAGGTCCTTAAGATTGAATGAGGAATCGGTACGACGGATTCGTCGTAATGTTGGCGCCAGCGGAAACTCATCCCGATGAGAGCCGAAAGTTGTCGACAATACGACACATTTGCCACCGACGAAGGACGATTCTGCAGGGAGCATCATCTTTATTCTTCTGGAGGGAGCGGGGGAAATGAAGAAGCATCAACGCGGGCGGAAGTGCCGCTCGCCTCGATGTTCGACATCCGCACAATACAACGTCGATGTCCCCGACGATATAGCGATCCTTAAGTCTCTCTGGCCGCAAAATGATATTTCACTTCCGTGTGCAATGTGCTCTCCTGTTGTGACAGTTGAATATTTCCTTTAATGGTATTATTGGATGAATATGGATTGTGTTATTCGATTAATAATATTGAAATATTCTATTATTAATAGATTTTTGATTATATAAAATGATATTTTAAGTGGATGAGAGTAAGTTAAAAAGTAAAAGAAATAATTTTTATATTAGAAATTCAGTTCATCTCATATTCTTTAAATTTAATAAAATTTTAAAAATATCGTGCCACATAAAAGAGATTAATATGCGCAACGCATCTTCCCTAAAGAATTCACTTTTCTTGTTTCCCCACCTTGCGTGTGCTTTCTTTCATAATTTCCTCCCTTTAATTAAACGGATGCGAGGTGTCACGATCTGTCGCTAATGAACCGCGTGAAAATAAAGCCGGGATTATATAAAAGCAAGTGACCACGTGAGGAAGGTCTCACGAGTTATAACGCGTGTATACCTGCCACTTTTGCGTACCGTGCATTCGCGTGCGTACCTGCATGCGTGTGCGTGCGTTCCTGTGCGAAAAACATCGTGCACGCCGTGGGCCAAACCAGTCGAGTACCTTTAATGAGGGAGATGCTCGTATTTACGTACGTGCGTGTGCGCATCTCAGCGCGCTCTTATGGTGTAATGGTGGTAGTGATACAGCTACACGCATACCATACCGCAAACAGGTATGTGCCCAATGTGGGCACGCGGCTGGGGCGCTCATGGAAAAAGTCTCGCAGCATTCCCTTCCTCGTGACTATCTAAGGACTTGGCGTTTTGTTCTCGAGTTTTTTTAATTGATTCCGCTCGTCGTATTAAATCGAGAATTTGAGAGAGAGCCTGCCTTCCCATTCTCGTGATACACACCTATGGACGTTAGTTAAATTTCTTCATTCGGTCTCGTATAACTGATCCGTGTTCTACATTTCGATAATTGACAGGCTAGATTAGATCGTGGTAATACAATGTGCTATGATAATAATATGAAATTAAAAAAAAAAAAAAAAATTAGAATATAGAAATATTAATAAAAAAGAAACACAATGCATTTTCTCACAATAAAATAAAATCAGTTTGCATATATAAAGTTAGTTCTATTATTTTCTTTTTCCGTCTAGATTTTTGTTATATCGTGATAATATACAAATATATATATATATATCATAGACGCGTTCTTTGTCGACATCTCAAAAAAGTTTCTCTTTATTTTTAAACTCTAGAAATGTTTTCAATTATCTCTCTTTTACAATATATATAATTTTACAATATAAACATTTCAATATAATTTTATTTAATAAAATTAAGAAATTATAACGCATTGTATATTATTAGATTCATCTTCAACATCGCTACACTTCATAAAATAGCACAAGATAGAGCAAAATGTTTGCATGTATACTTTCGGCTTTCTCTTCCGTCATTGCGCGTATCTCTCACAATATATATACGAGTCACGAATTCACGCAGCAATTTAGAAAAGGGATAGAGACTCCGCTTAATAAATCAACGTTGCGATAACGCGTCGGATTCTTCTGTTACGTGCCATTCAAGGAGCTGATCTAAGATTAAATTCTAAGTTATCTAGATCGGATAAGCCGCGTGCTTCTTAATGATATTTCTAATTAACCTTTAGCGATTAAATTGTAAAGATTAATATATTTCATTTTATGAATCCTTAGTTTATATAGATATAGTATAAATTTTAATTTTTTAACGAAGCTATAAAAAATATTTCTCACGGTCTATTATTTAAGATTTTATGGTCTTTTGTGTGTGAATTTTTTAATCTTACTCATTTTAGTCTTTCGGAAAGTTCAATTAACTCTATCAGTGCAAAGCTATTAAATTTACCGTTCAAACATCTCATCGGTTGTATTATTTATAGATCGTTAATGGCATTTTCTTGGTGAACCTTGCGTTGCGCCGTCCCTGGTCGTTGTTCCTCGATCACGATCCCGATCCATGCCGGCCAGTCTAGTCTTGCCGCGTCAGCGCGATCGAGAGGATCGATGCTGCATGATTCACGCGCGCGTTCTATGCTCCGATTCGAGAAGTCGAACATAGTGATTTTCAATAGAGTTAACCAAGATCGATAGTGGAGAGTTGATTCGACGGTGATGCGTATCTCCATTTGTGCAATTACTTGTCGGATATGTCGCGTGGATCTGCCCGAGGGATTCGTGGGTTAAATAAATCCACTGACGCGGTGTGCAACTCGTCCATTTCTCCCAAATGTATTAAATCCCTTCGATAAACTCTACAAATAATTCGCGAGATTTCTGCATTTTTCATTTTGTTTACTACGCCAAGAATCTATCAAACGATTCGATTATTAAATTTTCTTTTTTGCGCGATCAATTATTCGAATGTATTCTTGGAGTTAGAGAGAGGGGCAAAGTATATAAATAAAACTCTCTCGTCTTTAATTTGAGATTAAATTAATGAACGCCGATTAAGAGCTTCCTTCTTCTCACGAGATCACGGCTCGCATTGCCTGGAACGACAGCTTATTACGCTCGATTTAGATTCCAATTGACCGCGTAACTCCGCGTACCTATACGACACTTCGTTAAATATATCATTCGGATTCTTTGGAGTATATTTGTGAAGTAAGTAGCCCCGAGTCAAACGAAACGAAATTCACTAATTACATGGGCTGACTCACTCAAAAGGGTCTGACAAATGATTCAGACAAATGACATTTTTCCTTCGTTTCAATATGAAATTTTTTCAAAAACGAATTTCTTCGCTTGCATGATTTTTTTAATCCGTGGCTGTATATCAAATCCTGCAGGGACCTTCCTGAAAAAATATATGTAAAAAAATAGATGTGATTCTCTAGAGAAGGGTCAGTTAACAGTTAACCGAGGTTATCAAAGAGTCGAGAGAACATTTTATACGATACCTTTAATCTCATAATTGTTTTGATTTATTTTGTACAACAGCGAGAGAAAGACGGTACCTTGAATGGCGCCCTGCGCTTTTTCGTGTTCGTTGTCCGTTAATATGTTAATTCAATTTATTTCGCGCGCAACGCGCCCCATTCGTCTCTGTCCATCGCTCGATGTTTACATCCGTTTGCTCATTTCCCTCGCCGTTCCGTCACGGCTTTTTCCATTCGCGAATTACATTCTTGCGTATATCAGCCATGCTTTTCCGACATCGTGACTTTTCCAGGCTCTGTATAATTATTATTCCTTAGACCTCGACCCTTCTTCCCCTTCTGAAAAACGTTGACGGTTAGCTTTTAAAATCTAGTAAATATTTAGAATCTCACGAACGATCTCACGAATTTATATGATGGATATGTATTAGAGGAGATATGAATAAGATCTGTTATTACGCTTCGTCGGGAAGACGCGGATATTGTCAGATTTAATCCCGCATTATCTTTGCAAATTATAATTCATGACAGATCCACGAATATTAAAGCAAGGAGGAAGTTCGAGCCCGTGTCTTCCTGCCAGTTTCTTAAGGCCACTCTCCTCGAACTAACGTAATCCCCAAGTTATTAGCGTAAGCTGAAATTCCTCGCAAATTAAGCCGAGCCCTTCGTCTCCAAGTTTAGCTAAACGTGTAACTTCGCACATATCTTTCTCGCAAATTAATTATGTAGTTATAAAAAATTCAATCAAATCACATAATAATAATAAAAGTTAATTGCTTGTAAAATTCCATAGTTTAGATTAAATTCCATAGATCCACGCTGATATAACGTTGATTACCGCCGTGATTTATAAAGCGTTTCTGAAAATCGTGCAGAGATACGATCAATATCGCGCTTTATCGTGGTGACAGTGCATAATCTTGTGCAATAGTAATGGTACGAGGATAGTGCTAGTTTCCCCTTCGAGTGCTGCACAAGGGGCTGCAATTACCTCCTCGCGACGTCGCTGCCAGCTCGCCTCGCGCGGATCGCGGTTGAAAGGATGCGATTAACGCGCGGCGATCTGCCGGTGAAATTCTATGGTGAAATTCGCGTCATAACGCAGTCCAGCCGCGACGGTAATTCTGGAGTGTACTTTTTACGTGCGGTATCGCGACGGCGAACAAAAATAGAGACTATCGATCGTCGCCGCGTTTGAGAAACCGGCCGTATCGATTGGTGTCACGAGAAGAAAACGCAATCAGTGTACCGCGAAGTGTACCATCCCTGTAAATTGCAGTGTTTGCGTGCGCGATAACGGCACTCGGCGCTCTCTATCCGCGATATAACAGTTCGCAAAAAAGGTACCTCGACGTACAGAAACGTACAATAACGCCTGTGCTGTAATTGGGAACGATGCCGAAAGCCGGTGCGATCCGCGAAAGTTTAGAAAGGCTTTAAAAACGTTGTTACGAGATAAAAGTTGATGCGTGCAGTTAATTGCAACAAGGTGGAATAATGCAAGAGACAAATATGATGCTTATTCCAGCCTCAATCACGATATCAGTGTAACGGTTTGATCCGCAGCTGGAGAAGACTCTTTGAGCACATATTGCGTGACGCGAATTTTTTGGGGAAATTTGCTGAATGCTTTGTCGCAAAATCAGCATTTCTCACGTATATAGACGCTGAATTTATCGCAGTTTCCAAGTGTACTCGCAAATTTCAAACCACTAACTGGTTCGATGTTGCGTATCTTCTATGGTGAAATTCGCGGTACTTCAAAATGACAGTTTCCACCGCAGAATAATAGTCTCGCAGTTCGCTGTGGATTGTTTCTGCTCCGAAAACTTTGCGATGCGTTTCGGTAATTTGCCTCGATAACGTACTGACAGAACATGCTGCAAAATCGAAACCAAAGTTTGTGATTGTACGATCGGTCAACAAATCGCAATGATAAACAGCATCCCGTATACAAGAAATTGGCACTGCATGACGCACAGATCACAAAAATGTATTTAATATAATTGTAATTATCATTGCTGTTAAAATTGCTGAGCACATTCGAAGAGAATACGTCGTAGAAGTCTGAGAAAGTCAAAGATAAGAGCAAACTTATTATCAAGATGTGATGATTGTTTGTTTGTTGGAAAAATCGTCTTATCTATTTACGTCACCAATCGATTCTAGTTCCAGAAACTTTTGATGAATCATCGAGTTTATACGTCCTACCTAAGATAATTAATGTGAAATTCTGTCGAAATCTAGTTATTGTCTCCGATCATTTGCCGATCGCATCACAATCTTCGTATTGGCGCGACGAAAGCATCAATCCCGTATTCCTACGTTTTGCATCGCGTTGCGTGAATAATAATCCAGAGGCTTCTCTTCTACGAACTCCTTTTTTGGAAATTCATCGGATGCGCGTAAATGCACCGTGCAATCTCGGGTAGCAGTAATCTCTGAAGAAAATCTCGAGTCGCTAGAAACCGCACGTCGGTATCTCGCGAACCGCCGCGTCGTCATCGAAGGACAAAGGCGAGAAGAAGTTATCCTTTGCGTGGCGAATCGCGTTACACTTTGCTTGGATCGAACCGAGAACGAGAGAGCTCCCGGTTGTGTGTCGTGTATAT